ACCCAAAAACGCAATGTAATTATTGTAAATACAGATGTTACAAAAATAGCTCTGAATCATGATTGTACATGAATGGCAAACATCGAAGAATGATATGAAGTTTCATCTATAGAAGTTAGATTACAATTCTGGCTCTACAATCTCAAAAAGCAAATGTAAATATATATATGTAGCTTATATTTTTGTTTAGACTAACACTGCTTATATCAATACATAATTTATTACTTTATAATTCTAGATTTGTATTAAATACATTCATTGATTAGTATACTAATTAAATAATAAAAAAATAATACCGTGAATCGTTTAACTCGAGGTTAAGATTAAACGTTGTGAGGTTAACAATAAAAATGAAAAGAATACACACTCGGCCACACAGAAACCGTTCGGGAACACTCGCCACCCAAAGGCACACGGTTCCCCCACTACTTCTCCACTGAAGTCACCGAAGCACACCAACGAGTGATATTTCCAAACGCAACTTTACTATGTTGACAAGATTTAGATATACTGTATAGAATATTGTTTTCACAGATGTATAAGTGATAGATTTGGCATTGGAAGGGCAACAGCTTGGAGAAGCGTACAAAAAGTTGTCTCTGCTTTATATTATCATTTACATACATTCATAAAATGGCCATCACCTGAAGAAGCAGAAGCTACGTGGACAGATATAAAAAGGAAATATGGCTTTCCAAAAGTTATAGGTGCGATTGACGGAACTCACATTCATATTGCAGCTCCTAAAATTAATGCCGAATGCTATGTAAACAGAAAAGGATACCATTCAATACAGCTACAGGTATAGAAGTCATGTAATATATACATATCTCACATCTCACATGTATATAAGATAAACTCATATTAACAAATTTAAAAATTATAAATCTCTTTTGAGAGGATCCCATACAAAAATATCTATTTTTAAACCATTTGAAACACTTTTGCTTGATCGTAGGGTCCTAAGTCATAGAAATTGACTAATCATCGTCGATAATTGTTCTCATATTTGACTGTGATTGGTCAATTTTTTACGATTTAAGATCCTACAATTTCAATTGTAGATCCCGCATTAATACTATACAATATGAAAAAGACAATATTTTTTCAGGTCATATGTGATTCCAAATTAAAATTTTTGCACTGTTACACTGGTCAAGTTGGTTCCGTTCATGACATGAGAGTCTTCAAATTATCACGTTTTCAAAACATGTGTACAGAAGATAACTTTCCTGAAGACAGTCACTTATTGGGAGATGCTGCATATGGGATTCAAAAATATATTATGGTTCCTTTTCGAGACAATGGCCATTTAACGGAAACAGAAATAAATTATAATCGAGTACATTCTTTTGTACGTATGATGATAGAAAGAGCAATAGCACTTTTAAAAGGACGATGGAGAAGTATACTAGATAAGTTACCGATGACGAGAACAGATTTAATACCTCAATATATAGTAGCCTGTTGTATTCTGCACAATATTTGCTTATTGCATGATGATGTTATTGATATTCCAATAATAATAAATGAGGCACAATATATACCAACTCAGAATGTAACAGAAGTTCAAAACAGAGAAGAAAGCATTCAGAAACGAAATTGTATTGCGTATTCGTTAATGAATCCTCATTTACATTTATAAAAATGAAAAAATGTACTAAATGTTATTTTAATCCACATACATTTGATATTGTTTTTTAAGTTTTCATAAACGTGTAATTTATTTAAAAAAACCTTTTTAAACATATTAATATACAAATTTTGATAAAAACGATGTACTTAAAAAAACGATGTTTCTAATAAAAACGATGTACTGCTTGGTTTAATGTTGCACATAACATTTTTTATTTACTATACATAAATCACAGTTTTAATATATTCCTTGCACACATTTTTTTATATAAAATAAAATATAACAGTCTTATGTCCAGTCTTATAATCAATGTGTTACTATTAGGAGTGCTTATATAATATTTAAAAAGAAATTCTAATAATAATAAAATTTCACTTTTACCATACAAAAAAAGTCTTATTTTTCTTATAAGAAAATTGAAAAAGGGGTACTTAATTGTATAAAAAAAAAATAAATAACTTCTTGCAATCTATAAAAACAGTACGCTAATAAACATTATGAAAAACATTCAACAAATAAAAGAAAAAGAAAGTACATTAAACTCAAGATGTTGTCCGCCATATTCAATCCGACATTTTGAATTTTTAAATACTGATGTTAGATTCGAAATCAGCGACCTCACAATCCCCTAAATAACATGTCGCAAGTGAATCCGACTAATTTTTAAAAATTTCGTCCGCCATATTGGGGCCGCCATTTTGAATTTTTTAATACTGATGTCAGATTCGTGATCAGCGACCCCAAAAACTTCCAAGCAACAAGTTTCAAGTGGATTTGATTCATTTAAAAAAATGTCATCCGCCATATTGGATCCGCCATTTTTAGTTTTTGAAAACTGACTCCAGATTCGTGATCAGCGACCTCAAAAATACTAGGATACCAAGTTTTATAAAAATCTATTAATTTTTTTCCATTTTGTAGGCATGGCTGTGATATTACATAAAATATTCACTTTTATCGCCATTTTGTGTCCGCCATCTCGAATTTTTTTTTTCCGGAACACCCGTATCTGATAGCAAATTCATTTTTGACACGATATTTGCGACTTTTAGAGATATTCTAATGACATTACCCATAATAAAATTCAATGAATTGAAAATAAAACCAAGAAAATTTATGTTATTTTTTAAAAAAAAGAGTATAACTTTTTTATTTGAAACTTTAAACAATTTTGGCATGCACCATTGGAAAGAGCGGTCCTTGGCCAATAAGAAATGGCTATCGCAGAATTTTTCTTACACAGTTTTAATGCTAAAATATTGTGTCAAACTTCATGAAGAAAATTTGTACATTTGGGCGTTAAAGGGATATTACTGTGGATTAGTAGTACACATGCATAGTATAAGAGAATTTTTTTTAATACATTATAATATTCCCATTTTTTTGCGCTATTTCCGGATTTATTGTTATGGTCCTTTATAGCTTTGTAAATCCTTTTCATCGCCTGAAATTTTATGGAACATTTTGGACCACTTATGTCATATCCTATCTTTTTCATTTCTTTTGAGACACTCTCCCAACAATATTTAACGGTGTTTTTGCCACTGTGAAATTCTTTCTCTTTAGAGGTGTATATGTCAATCAAAAGTAATGTTTCTTGTTTTGACCAGATATGCTGCTCTATATACAAGAAAATATTATTGATATTTTTCATTAAATTTCACTAAAGATATACAGAAGAGATACAGAACAGAACTATAAATAATCCTAATACTTATTTTAATTTACCTTTTTTACTTTCAATACCCTCATTTTCTTTATCATCGCCTGATTCCTTATTACTTGTATCTGAGTTAATTGTATAACTTTTGTCTCCTAAAGCAGAACTACCTAAAAATCAGAATTAAAAAGTAGAATTATTTAAAAATTAAAAAGAATTTAACTTTATAGAAATTATAGATTTAAAACATTAATCTATAATGAGCCTTCTACAATAAGCCATTATTTAAGATTTAAGTGTTAAATCATAAGAAATTTACCAATCACAATCGAATGTGAGAAGAATAATTGACTGTGAGCGGTCAATTTCTTATGACTTAATACTTAAACTTAGGTAATGGCTTATTGTAGAAGGCCTATAAGATTTAATATTTGATTAACCTTATTATTATAAAAACTTAATGCAAAAACAATTTGTACACAGTTATAACCTTTTCTTCTTACCTTCAACTTTTGCTCGTTCTAATAATCTTGTTGCAAACTCTAAATCTGTAATAAGAATTAAGATATCCTAAATACTTTTAATTTTGAGTTTACAAAATTGTGCTACAAATTATATTGTTACGTCCAAGCCTCAGGATTTTTATTACGTGAGAAGTTCTGGGTTAAGGAGGAGGCCTCGGAAGAACGTAACTGACACCAGATGTGTCTCCCGATCGTCTCGCCCTGCGGAGGGTTACGAGAGACAGTCGGACGCACTAGAAAGGGTACGGAATTAAATCAGTGTACCATACTATAGTACTTGTATACGGCACACTATGACTCTTATCCCGAACCGTACGCCCGTTGGTCCTTTAAATTTAGGCCAAGGAACTCAATCCTTATAGCCAGGGATATGGACCGAGTGCGATCTCGGGGATGACGTTTGGAATGCGGGGAAGGTTGCTTTTAAATCAAATCACAATCGTAATCTTTAATACAGGGAATGGAAGTAACTCGTTACTTGTAACGAAGTTACAGTTACAAGTTACTTTTTTGGTAACTTTGCTGGTAACTGCGTTACTTTCTTTTTTTGGTAACTGTAACGGTAACGAGTTACATTTTTTGGGTAACGGTAACGAAATTTACAGTTACTTTTGTCGTTACTTTGCACACGATTGAACACGGTTCGATTGGATACATGCTATTTATAGCGCTTATCAATAAGAATTGAAACCCCTTAGACATTATGATTCAGTAATTATTTTACACTTCTATTTTCTATGTAATACATAGGACATACAAATATTTCAGTTTGCTGCATATTTTACAGGTTTTAGAATTACAAAATTGTGTTTAAAAAAAATTAAAAAATTAATTAAATAATAGTAAAATGAGAAGGGCTACGAACCCAAAAGCGAAACAGTTTAAAAGACGATGACAATAAGTGTCGAAACGTCGCTTGTTTTTATCTTGTTTTATCCATGTTATTGTTCTAATATATTTGGTATTTATACATTTAATTACATTGTCATCGTCGTTCTTATCGGAAATAAACTGTTTCATTTTTGGCTCGTAACCCTTCTCATTTTACTTTTATTTAATTTATTATTTGAGCCATTCTAC